TATGATCTGGAGTGTGAGAAATATGGCCCATGTGGACTTTGAGGCTTTAAGAGGCACTCAAACGGTCTACAAGCCGGGAAAGAACGACTCCAAGTTCTTCAAAAGTTCGAGACAGGCTCAACTTGATAGGAACTGGGAGAATCTAAATGTCAAGATTGATAAATGAGAGGTGATCTACACCACGAACCAATATACCGTGGCTGCAATCATCACCAAGCATTTCATCACTCAAGCAATGAGAGATAAGTTAAGCAATTAAAAAGGAGTGGTTGGACCTCAATGAAGACCATGTGATGCTGTTAAAGCTTATCAAGACGTTCATGACCATCATGGATGAGTTGCCCAGCGGTTGCCATTGCCCTGTTGTGCAGCACCTGTCGGTCCACTGGTGAATGATGACATGGTAGAATCTATGCAGGCAGCCAAGCGCTACAAGCCTAGTAGTTCAAGTCAATCACTTAATACCCATGTCAGTCCAAGCTCAGAAAAATTTGATCATCCTGACCAAGGATGCATGGTGGATCCAATCAAATTTTGAACTGGAATAGTCTTGACCCAAGCGACTGTGGCGACACTTTAAGTAACCACAGTCTTGAAATTGGTGGATTCTCAGACAAATGGCGGACGTTTTGTTGGACTCCTTAAGTAAATGGGCGGACAATCGTCCAAATTTTCGGATCACTTCAGGATTTTTGGGGCCCACATCCCCACCAAAATGTACTAGGGATACATGCAATAGTAGGTAGGCACTCGTCAAATACAAAATTTGAAAACTTTTGCCGGACAAGTGTCCACCTATTTTGGAATAGGGAAAATCAGAATAGAGCAATTGGTATTGGTATAGTCAAACTGCTGATTTTGAGAAGTGGCGTCCACCTAATTTCACCATTTTGCACCCAAAATCTTAAGCCGTGTCAAAGCAGTAGTTGTCTAGCAGCAAGCCGCAAGCAGCAACAACATGCCAGCCCCACTTTACCATAAAAAGCTTTGGTGGTCAAAATAAATGTGGATATGGTTGTGTTGGCAAAATACCAATGCCGTACAAGCTATAACTGAAATGCTGTCAATGGCTACTGGAGAAAGGAGATGACATAAGTATTTTTTGCCACTGTTTCATGATCCTAACATGGGACTTAATGTGCAGGGCCAACAACACAGTGACAATTCTTATTGACTAGATGAAATGGCATGGTGATCACTTGGAGATCAAATTAAGTCCACAAAAGGATACCAAGAAGGGAGAGAAAAACGTCTTCCAAGACGTCTACATGCCAATCCACAACAACCAGGAGCATGTCCAATAGTTGCCCTTGCACTTTACTTGGGTCTGATGGCCAGGCGTTTGGAGATGAATTGGCTCTTGTTTTCCAGGGAATTCCCAGCACAAACGTTTCATGGATGGGCTAAGCAAGATCCTCACAGACCACAAGAATGAACTTTGGAAAATGGGATATGCAAGCTTCACAGATTACCTCTCATAGCATCAGAAAGGGAGCGACATTGTGGCTGAGTGAACAGCCTGGGGGATCACTCCCAATCTCAATATGTATTCAAGGAGGATGGTCTTTGGGTGGCATCAAAGACATCTATATGAAATACTACTAATAGGTAGAACGAAACTCACTTGGTGGTGGAATGAAACCCAGGCTTTTCTTGTATAGCAGCATACTGTATTAATAAATTCTATTCTACTTTTGATAAGTTATTAGCATTAGCTGTGGATGCAATTCTTTTTATACTATCTCTGCTTCAACTTGTATCAACGTGTTGCACTGTTTGGAGGATCGCCCCCACCAAAACTTGTCTTTTGGTGTATCTAGCTAATACCACAAGAACTATCAGAACATTTTTAGACCACCCAAGCACTGTCATTCCGCGGAATCTATACTAATGGTGAACTTGCCGCACCACAAGAAATCCTTGCGTGTAAAGGATACACACAAAAATAAGTTTTTTTAAGGCAGAGGTGCTGCCAACTACTACTAGCATGGAACGCACAGGAAGTAGTAGAAGCTAGGAGAGACAAGAATCAGTACTGTACCTGCACTGCAGACGAAAGTTACGGGGTTTCTGAAATATTTACAGGAATGGTATGTACTCCCATCCGTTTTTTCCCGTGTATTCTCCTTTGATCCTGTATTGGCAATTTGTCCGGTAAAAACTCCTGGAACACCCGGCAAAACGATGACTTTAGAATTCCTCTTGGTTCCTTCTCGCGAGATGACTAGTAAACAAAGAGGACATTTCTCATATATAAGAACATCTTGTCGTTCATAAATAGTTTAGAACCAAAAGGGACATTTTTTTAAAATTCTTAGTCCGTAATAATTCAATTAAAGGCTCACCTGACATAATGATGGAAAAACTGCTTTTAGGTCGCGACTCAATGCTTCTTAAAAATTACTCGTTCCAAATAAAAACTACTCGTTCCGAATAAAAATTACTCGTTCCAAATAAAAATTACTCGTTCCGAATAAAAATTACTTGTTCCGAATAAAAATTACTCGCTTTGCGATGTGAGTTATTTCTCGTTTTGGTGGCTTCTCATCGTTTTGGTGGCTTCTCATCGTTTCTGGAAGTCCCACAAAAATATCCCCCGCTCTGCTCAGTCCTACCCCCCATGATCTTCATCAGTGATGCTTTATCGCCAATCACGTCTTGGCTTGAGATGTGATCAGCAATACCCATCTGAAACAGTAGGTATGACCTTTTTAGGAAGAAATTGTCCAAAATTCCCCATGGTCTGCCCTTTTTGCGGCATGCCTTGTCTTTCCCAAAAGTTCCTTGTCCTTTTTTTCACAAGGAGCCCCCTTTTTTTGACACTCCTTTGGGGCAAATGACACACAAGAGTCATTATGACAACCATGAGACATTGGTTGTCAGGTCCTTTTCTTCCAAAAGGTCATCGTTGTCCTGCACATCCCAACGTGATGTCCTTTTTTCACAATCCATGGACAAAAAGGCTATTGATCAGCATTTTATCACTCCCCGCACTCCTTCTTATGGCACTTTTTTGTCATGGCAAGCAACAATACTGAACCACAAAGCAAGAGGCGCAAGTACAGAGATGTTCCTCTACGGTGTCTATGCTGTAAAAGAAACTTCAAGGGGCAATATAGCAACAAAGAAGCTTACTTCATCAGGTCTTTCACAACATCTTAGGTCAACTGCAAAACCAGGTTTTAAGAAGGACCCCAGCTTTGCCAGGGCTTAGTCTGTTGATGAGATTGACTTTAAAGACTCTGGTGTGTTCCAAGCTAATCACCATTCCAATCCCCTTCGAGCTGGGGCCTCTGTAAGCGATATCCCTAGCCCTACTGATATTATGCCAGGCTTCAAACCTGACGGTGGATCAGAAGAAGACACTGCTGCCATGGAAGAAGAAAAGAACAAGACAGAAAAGAAGAAGGGGTCATTTGGAATGCTTTGGGAAGCCACTCTGTTGGCTGATTTTCAGGAGTTTGTGTCAAAGATTCTTTTTGCCCATTATTCTGCTCCAGAAAGCAAGCTTAGCAACCAACAAATCAAGAGCCAGACATGCCCATCTAAACTTCCACCTCAAGTATCTCAGGAAGGGCTGAGGAATTACATCCACTCCCATCTCAACGACAATTTGGATCCTAGTTTTCAAACAGAAGATAATGGAGAATCTGTCAACTTTGAGCATGATGATGACCACGAGGAGGAATTGGCAGAGCTTTCCATAGAGTCAGAAGCGAGGAACAATCCGAATGGGTCCTTTGTAATGGATCTTGATGTAGGATCCCAGTATGGGGCTAACTATCTTCCTAATGATATTACATTGCCAACTATTAATTTTGAAGTGGATGATCCACATGTGACGGGTCCCAACGGTGAGAATATCCCCTTGCCCCATCCAATCAACCCCTTCAAGTTCAGACCAGATCCCCAAGACAAACCTGATTTAGTGGAGACCACTGTGACCATCCTCGTTGACAAACGCAACATACAACAATTAAGCAGACCTAGAGCAACGCCATTTCTCTTCTATTTGATGGATTTGCCCCAGAGATGGCCTGATAAGTCTGTAGTAATCAAGTGACGTCGCCAGTATATAATTGGTTGAATGCAAACCATATCAAGGCATGAGCGGCTTGTTTCATCAACATGATGCACAATGGAAGCATCCAACAATCAAACTTACGTTGTTGAGCAACACCATTTGACTTCTGCTGGATGGATTGTTCTCAGAGATGGCTTCATAAGTCTGTAATAATCAAGCAACGACAATTTGATGAGTCTGTAGTAATTAAGCAACGAGGACTGTGTAATGTTGGTTGAATGCACACCACATCAAGACATGAGCGACTTGTTTCATCAACATGGTCAACAATCATAGCATATCACAATCAACCTTACCTGGAGCGACACCATTTCTCTTCTGCTGGAGGGAGTCTTCTCAGAGATGGCTTGATGAGTCTGTAGTAATCAAGCAACAGCGACAATGTATTGTTGGGTAAAGTAGTCAAGCAATAGCGACCACTGTCACGGTCATGATTGCAAATCACAACCTTCAACAATCAAACTTTACCTTGAGGGACACCATTTCTTTTCTTCTGGATCGATTCTCTTCAGAGATGGCTTGATACTAAGTCTGTAGTAATCAAGCAACAACAATGGTGTATTGTTGGGTGAAGTAGTTGAGTATTGGTGACAACTGTCATCTTCATGATTCACAATTGCAACATCCGACAGTCAAACTTGGTGTATTGTTGGTTGAGTGCAACAAAACCATATCATGACATGAGCAACTTCTTTCATCAACATGATGCACGATGTAAACATCCAACAATCAAACTTACCTTGTTGAGCGACGCCATTTCACTTCTGCTGGATGGATTGTTCTCAGAGATGGCTTGATGAGTCTGTAATAACCAAGCAACAACAACAGTGTAATGCAACCAATGGCGAACACTGTCATAGTGATGATTGACAATTGCAGCATATCAGAATCAATGTTACCTCAAGCAGCACCATTTCTCTTCTGCTAGATGGAATCTCCCCAGAGATGGATTGATAAGTCTGTCCTGATAATCAAGCCATGACAACGGTGTATTGTTGGGTGAAGCAGTAGTCAAGCAATGGGGACGACCACTGTCACGGTCATGATTGACAATCACAACATATCACAACTAACTTTACCTGGAGCGACGCCATTTCTCTTCTGCTTGATGGATTCTTCTCAGAGATGTTATCAAGCAACGGCCACGGAGTATTGCTGGTTGAATGCCAAACCATATCAAGGCCGGAGCAACATGAGCGACCCGTTTTTTTTCAACATTGACGGTTGCAACAATCAAACTTACCTTCTTGAGCAACGCCATTTCACTTCTGTTCGACGGATTCTTCCCAGAGGTGGCGTGGTGAATCTGTAGTGATCAAGCGATGACGACTGTATGATTTGGGCTGAATGAAAACAATATCATGACAAGAGCGACCTGTTTCATCAAAATGACGGACATTCGCAACATCCGACAATCAAACTTACCTTTGGGACGCCATTTCACTTGTGCTTCATTGATTCTTTTCAGAGATGTCTTGATGATTTGTAGTTATCAAGCAATGGCGGCGGTTTATTGTTACTGAATGAAATCCATATCATGACATGAGCGACCGCTTTCAACAACATGATTGACAACCGAAGCATCCGACAATCAAACTCACCTTGAGGGACGCCATTTCTCTTCTGCTTGACCAATTCTTCTCCAAAAGGTCTTGACAGGTATGGAGGAATCAGTCCTGCGATGGCGACGGTGTATTGTTATGTGGATGCAATCATGTCAAGATATGAGCAACCGCTTTCATCATGATTCATTGCAACATCCAATAGTCAACGAAACCAATATCATTACAAGCGCGACCTGTTCTGTTTTTGTCAGAGATAGCTTGATAAGTCTGTAGAAGTCGAGCAATGATGATGGAGTACTGTTGGGTACAGTAGTAGTCAAGCCTTGGAGACCACAAGCATAGTAATGATTGACAATCCCAACATCCAACAATCAAACTTACCTCGAGCGACTCCATTTCTCTTCTGTTTCATGGATTCTTGTCAAAGATGGCTTGATGACTCTGTACTAGCAATCAAGCAACGAAGGTGTATTGTTGGATGAATGCAAAGAAAGTCAAGACATGAGCGACTGCTTTTGTCAACATGATTCACAATCGCAGCATCCAACAATCAAACTCACCTTGAGGCACGCCATTTCTCTTCTGCATGACCAATTCTTCTTGCAAAGGTCTTGATAGAAATTTAGTAGTCATGCAATGGCGATGGCGTACTGTTGGATGAATGCAAAGAAAGTCAAGACATGAGCGACTGCTTTTGTCAACATGATTCACAATCGCAGCATCCAACAATCAAACTCACCTTGAGGCACGCCATTTCTCTTCTGCATGACCAATTCTTCTTGCAAAGGTCTTGATAGAAATTTAGTAGTCATGCAATGGCGATGGCGTACTGTTGGATGAATGCAAAGAAAGTCAAGACATGAGCGACTGCTTTTGTCAACATGATTCACAATCGCAGCATCCAACAATCAAACTCACCTTGAGGCACGCCATTTCTCTTCTGCATGACCAATTCTTCTTGCAAAGGTCTTGATAGAAATTTAGTAGCCATGCGATGGTAGCGGCGTATTGTTGGATGAATGCAAAGAAAGTCATGATATGAGCAACACAATGTCCAAATAAATTATATGCTTTTGCCTTCCGTCCTTTGTTCCTCCAATAATTCTTTCATGCAGCTCAAACAATTCATTAGTGGCCGATCCACTGGCAATTGAGCTTTATTGTTAACTTCTGCCGTGTTCTGCTTGTGTTGGGTTTAGACAACATTGGGATTACCATGACAGTTGTTTGGTTGCAAACGAGGATTGAGTAAATCACAGTTTCACTTGATGGTTTCAAAGTTGAAGAACAGCCAAGCCGTCTTGCATCCTTTCCCAACGGAAGATTTACTTATGGCTTTGGTCTTGCGGTCGACCAAGTCAAAATTTGGAACACATATATCTTACCGGTATCGCATATACGCACTTGTGCGATGACAACAATAAATGCAACACTCAACAATCCAACTCACCTTGATGGACGCCATTTCTCTTCTGCTGCATCAATTCTTCCCAGAGATGGCTTGTTAGGTTTCGAGTTGTCAAGCAATGGCGACGGTGTATTGTTGGGTGGGTTCTAACCATGTCTAGACATCAGCGACCACTTTCGTCAACGTGATTGACAATCGCAACAACAACAGTCGATTTGCGACAATAAAAAATATGCAACAAT